CCCCCCCACAGGGATGGCCACACTGCAATCCCTTCTCCTCCTTTCTCCTCTCAGGATCTTGGGCACACACACACACATGCCTGGCATGAGTTTAAGCCACCAGGTCCGAGACTCAAGCGGCGGTCAACTACAGGAGAGTCCAGCGACATAGACATTACGCCAACTGCTGGTCCCTAGATGGTATTTTCAACTGTGGCCTTTAGCTGTGCCCCATCACAGGAGGTCACTGTGCATTTTTCCACTGTGGCGTCAGGTCAATACTTGGAAAGTTTTGGATTTTGGAGCATTTCAGACTTCAGATTAGGGATGCTCAACTCAGGCCACCATGCAGGCCCCTGCCTCGGGCCCCTGCCTTGCCTAGTATCACCACAGTCCTACTTGAATGGTCCCACTTGGGTCCAGGCTGAGGCACGCTGGTAGCTCCAGCATCTTTATCACCTGTCCCTGTCCAAGCTCTCCCCTCTCCCAGCCAGTGAGCACCTCGCCTGCCCAGGTCAGCTGATCGAGCTCCTGCAGGTCCACTGCGGCTCTCCCCTTAGTGTTGATCTCTCTTCTCCTATGCTTCAGAGCTCTCTTCCTTCTTTGGCAGTGTCTTTTGGTCTCTTAGGTGGAAGATACACTTTCAGATCTTTGTTAGTTTTCGGTCCATCTGTAAATGTCTCTACTTTCCTTCTCTACGATTTGAGTGTCTGGCTAATCAGGGACGCACAAGGACAGAGTTTAAAACACAGCAGTTCATCTTCCAGGATGTCAGTAAAAGAAAGTGAACACCACTTGGTCCTGAGAAATGGCGCCACCCAGTGTAGGGACAGGAGGGCTGTGCACGCTTCTCCACTCACGGTGTCAATGCGTGGTCCTAGGAGGCAATGACTGAGAGAAGGCTATGGGCGCCGGGAACCCCCTGGACCAGGGGTCAAGTTCAAATGTGGCCTTGTAGCTGCAAGCCCATCTGCAAGGTCAGGGACAACCATGTAAACTCAAGTATCAGGTCCACTGGGTGTCCCCATCCATGCCTCACCCTGCGAAGCCCTGTTCAAGGTGCCCCAGGCACTGACGAACTCTGTGTTCTCCTCTGCATTAACGCTCTGAAACCAGGACCTCATTCCACCACAGCCGAGCTTACTTGGAAGGTCCCTGGGGACATCGTGAACAGCTCAATGGCGTTTTGCATCAGGAGCTTCACCTGGAAGCTTAGTGATGCTTCAAGGAGTTGCTCTGGAGTGAACCTTTACTTAAATGCTCTCATTAAGGTTCAGAATTCCTAGAATTTTATCATGAAGAACATGACACTTGAATATGGGCTCCGATCGATTTTAAATGGCTCCCATGCGTCAGGCAGAGACGCTTTTATAATCTATTAGGATATATCCCATTTTTTGTTTTTTTTTTTTTTTTTTTTTTAATTTTGAGAGATTTTTGCTATTGAATGTGTGTGCTTGCCAGAGAGACAGAGAGAGACCACGAGACAGAAAGTAAGACATCACCGCCACAGGGATGGCCACACTGCAATCCCTTCTCCTCCTTTCTCCTCTCAGGATCTTGGGCACACACACACACATGCCTGGCATGAGTTTAAGCCACCAGGTCCGAGACTCAAGCGGCGGTCAACTACAGGAGAGTCCAGCGACATAGACATTACGCCAACTGCTGGTCCCTAGATGGTATTTTCAACTGTGGCCTTTAGCTGTGCCCCATCACAGGAGGTCACTGTGCATTTTTCCACTGTGGCGTCAGGTCAATACTTGGAAAGTTTTGGATTTTGGAGCATTTCAGACTTCAGATTAGGGATGCTCAACTCAGGCCACCATGCAGGCCCCTGCCTCGGGCCCCTGCCTTGCCTAGTATCACCACAGTCCTACTTGAATGGTCCCACTTGGGTCCAGGCTGAGGCACGCTGGTAGCTCCAGCATCTTTATCACCTGTCCCTGTCCAAGCTCTCCCCTCTCCCAGCCAGTGAGCACCTCGCCTGCCCAGGTCAGCTGATCGAGCTCCTGCAGGTCCACTGCGGCTCTCCCCTTAGTGTTGATCTCTCTTCTCCTATGCTTCAGAGCTCTCTTCCTTCTTTGGCAGTGTCTTTTGGTCTCTTAGGTGGAAGATACACTTTCAGATCTTTGTTAGTTTTCGGTCCATCTGTAAATGTCTCTACTTTCCTTCTCTACGATTTGAGTGTCTGGCTAATCAGGGACGCACAAGGACAGAGTTTAAAACACAGCAGTTCATCTTCCAGGATGTCAGTAAAAGAAAGTGAACACCACTTGGTCCTGAGAAATGGCGCCACCCAGTGTAGGGACAGGAGGGCTGTGCACGCTTCTCCACTCACGGTGTCAATGCGTGGTCCTAGGAGGCAATGACTGAGAGAAGGCTATGGGCGCCGGGAACCCCCTGGACCAGGGGTCAAGTTCAAATGTGGCCTTGTAGCTGCAAGCCCATCTGCAAGGTCAGGGACAACCATGTAAACTCAAGTATCAGGTCCACTGGGTGTCCCCATCCATGCCTCACCCTGCGAAGCCCTGTTCAAGGTGCCCCAGGCACTGACGAACTCTGTGTTCTCCTCTGCAGTAACGCTCTGAAACCAGGACCTCATTCCACCACAGCCGAGCTTACTTGGAAGGTCCCTGGGGACATCGTGAACAGCTCAATGGCGTTTTGCATCAGGAGCTTCACCTGGAAGCTTAGTGATGCTTCAAGGAGTTGCTCTGGAGTGAACCTTTACTTAAATGCTCTCATTAAGGTTCAGAATTCCTAGAATTTTATCATGAAGAACATGACACTTGAATATGGGCTCCGATCGATTTTAAATGGCTCCCATGCGTCAGGCAGAGACGCTTTACCTGGTGGCTGAGTCACCTCCGTACTCCCTTGCGGCCATCTGCGGTCCCCAGTCCCGATGCCATGCCTCCCACGCTCCCTGCTGTTCTCCCACGCGTCTTACCTGGTCCCACTCCCACCTTGATGACATCTGCTCCGGAAAGAATAAGCTCTTCTACCATCTCTCCTGTCACCACGTTCCCTGCCTGAGACAGAAAGAGCACAACTCATGACTGTGACCCGCTCCTGGTGACAGTGGGTGTGCATGTCCCCAAGCCACAGGCAGCTGGGGGACACGAAGGGGAATGTCTGGCCCAATTCCTGTGTCAGCTTAAGTCTGAAAATGGTCGACCAAAGTGCCCCTCGGTTTCCCTCTCTGTCGAATAGGGACCTGGAGACCATCAGGTGACCTATGGCAAGGCATGAGAAAGTACGGAACTGTAACCTTTTAGAACTAGAAGAAATCTTAGAATAACTCCCTCAGGACTTTCCAGCCTCAGCAATGAATAAAACACAATTTTACAGGGAATCCAAATATGTAAACACACAATGAAACGTTCACTCAGCTGACTCAAGTCTTATTGCTGGACATCAAATGCTTTGCAGTTTGCAAAATCCCTCAAGAACCTCTACGGAATCCCAAGGAGCCAGGATTAGAAAACTACTGATCAGGGCCAGCAGGTGGCGTAGTGATTAAGGCACTCTGGACTCCTCTGGACCCATGGCTTGAAACTGACGCTGGGCATGTGTGTGTGCGCCCAAAAGCCCAAGAGGAGAATGGAGGAGAAGGAATTGCAGCATGGCCACCCCATCCCCCATAGGTGATTTCTCGCTTTCTGTCTCTCTAGATAGCGCAAATGCCCTATAGTAGATATCTCTCCAAAAAAAACAAAAGAAAACTACTGATCATCTCACAGCTGAGAAAATACTTGGGAGTCCACCCTGGGGTCGGGGTTCCTGTCTAGACATGAAAGGGCAGAGCAGCCCTTACGGGCCACACAGCACTGCAATGTGCTCTGTTGACAGAACATGAAGCTTTGGCCCTGAGAATAAACAGATAAACCCGGAAGTGGTGGAAATTATCAACCAGAAGGATGCATCTGGTTTGGAAATAGCACAAGATCTTTCACTGCAGGAGTCTAGGAATGCAAAAATAGTCCCTTTTATTACAACTCACTGCCCTGTGGATTCTTCAGCTGGTACATGGAATTCTTGGCAAGATGCCCAGATGGAGTTTTCACAACTGCAAAGCCATGCCCTGAAAAATGCAGCTCCGCTCTTTCTACCCATACTTTTTGCACTGAAGCCCAACTGTCATCTCAACACATTGATTCCCAGAGGGACTTCTTTTGATTTTTTTAAGATAAATTTTTGTTCTAGGGTTCCATGCACTCGCCAGAAAGAGAGAGAGAGACAGAGAAAAAGAAAGCAAGAAATCATCCCCCAAGATCGATGGCCATGCTGCAATCTTTTCTCCTCCATTCTCTTCTAGGGATTTGCACATGCATGTACACGCACCTGGCATGAGCTTTAACCTGCCATGTCCAGGACTTGAACTGTGGTCAGCTATGTGGGAGTCCAGTGACATAACCATCATGCCATCTGCTGCCTCCTTCCTCCCCCCAGAGGGACTTCTTTAACCTAGACAGAGTGACTTTAACTTACCTAAAAGCATGCAGGACAAAGGTGATGATCAGGACTCAAAGCTATTTTAATTCAAATGGCAGCTGACCATGGAAAACAGCAAATGGCCCAGAACAAGGACCAGAGGTGGATTAAAGAGTTAAAGTAGGAGCTGGGCGATGGTGCCTAGGTCAAACGTGGTGCCCTATAGGCTGATCCACAGAGAAATGCTCTGGGTTTGAGCCTAGAGATCTTTCTGAACATGCAGGCATAGTGCCCATGATCTAGGGCTGGTGGCAGCTGAGGGTGGATCATGGCACGGCACCCTGTTGGGGTTACAATCTCTCTCTCTCTCTTTTCCTCTCTCATGGAAGACATAAAGTTAACAAGAGATGGGCCGGCCCCATAGCCTAGTGCTTAAGGGAGTCAAATCCCACATGGCTGACCACAGTTCAAATCTTGACCCCAGCAGCTTGAAAAAATAAAGAAAACACTGGGTATGTGCGAGTGCATGCATCAGATCCTCTGTTTCTTTGATGAGCACATGCAACTCTGATCATTTAAAAAAGAGTTAAAGTAGAAGTTTAGCCTCCTCGATTCAGAAGACAATCTTGAATACTCACAGTAAGCATAAAACTGAAAAAAAAAGCACAGCCATCTACATAAAAATAAATCAACATGCACACACACACACACACACACACACACACCCACATCTAATCAACAAAAAGGAAAACATCTGTAATTTTGACAAAGGGTTACTAACTTTAACAGCACTTACCAATCTTTAAGAAAAATGCTAATACCCTTCCCAATAAGTGCCAAAAAAATTTAAATGGCTAATGAAAACAGAGAAAATGGAAATTAAGGTAGCAGTGAGGTACCACATCTCACCTAAGGATCAATAGTTACAAAGACTAATGAGACAGCATCGTATACTAGCGTGGGCTGGCTACTTCCTACAAGTGTTTTTGGAAAGGGATCTGTCCACATCGAAGGAATGCAAAAATATGAACATCTTATGAGGCAATCATTCCACTTCTAAGATCCTCTCCCAAAGAAATAACAATAAACGAGGACAAAGACTCAACACAGGGCTGTTAATGGTTTTAAAAATTTGCACAAAACTGCAAATACACTCCCCACAGTGGAAGTGGTTCGACAATTTAGGCCTCATGCATGTGGTGTTTTTAAGATTGAGTTAATGGCATGGGAAATTCTTAAATGCCTTGAAAATAATGTTGGGAAAAATAGTAAGATATTGATTTTCTTCTCTTTTTTTTTTTTTTTTTTTTGAGAGAGAGAGATTTTTGCTATAGGGCTCATGCACTCACTAGAGAGAGAGAGAAAGAGAGAGAGAGAAATCACTCCCCGTGGGAGATGGCTATGCCACAACCCCTTCTCCTCCATTCTCTCCTTGGGATTTTGGGTTGCCCGGAGTGTTTCAAGCCACCAAGTCCAGACTCAAACCACACTCAGCCACTTGCAAATCCAGAGCCTTAACCACGGTGCCACCTGTTGGCCCCTTGGTTTTGCTTTTTAATTGGCAGAGGGTGTGTGCACTCCTCAGAGAGTGTACCCTTGGTGAGTGTGGTCGCACCATCATCCTTTCTCCTCCGTATCTTCATCTCATCAGGATTTGGGGCATGTTCGTGCAAGCATCCAGTGTGTTTTCCAAGCCTCTGGGACTGAGATTCGAACCATGCGAGCTTCTGCTCCCTATGCACTGATCCTAATCACTACACTACAGGGCCAGCTCTTGATTTAAATATATATGTGTGTGTGTGTGTGTGTGTGTGTGTGTGTGTGTGTATGAAAAAATGAGAGCAAAACGCTAATAAATTCTGTGCAAATGAAGGGAGTATCTGTCATCGATTTTCTCCTTTAACCTTTTCTAGACTCTACAGTAGACAGTGCATTACTTGTATAATGAAATGCGGAGGGTTTTTGAGTCTTTGTTTTTTCTAGTGCAAAGGCCTGTAAGAACGCTGTGCCTGAAAACAACACTTAGAGAACCCTGAGAAGCAAGACCGGAAGTCACATCCTTCCTCACTGGTTGACTTGCTAAAAACACCAAACAATAAAAACAAGACTTGAAAGAAACTGTTCTAAGTTCTCCATGCAATTCTCAATATGGATTTTTTTTTCTTCCTATCTGATGCCACCTCAGAACCATTTTATTTTCCAGGGCCTTCTTTAGACGAAGTATACCAATGCAAGTTGGCTCACAATGGAGACAGGACCAGGTGTAAGCAGGTAAGATCGAATAAGTGTAAAAATGAAGAGAACGCTGGCTCCGTTTCAGTAACCTGGAAGCTTCTGCAGGTGTCTCCCTCTGCCCTCGTACCTGCATGGCTCACTCTGTGGTGTGGAAAAACCCAGAGTGATTAGGAAGCACCTCAGCCGTGAGGCACAATACGGCCAGAATGCTGACGACCAGGAAGGGCAGGGGAAGTTTCCACTGGCAGTACAGACAGCTGTCTATGCAAGTTTGAAACCAAGAACAAAAATAAAGGAAAAGAGAAGACCAGCTGGCCCCCTTGTCAAGGGGACGGTTCCCCCGTGGCCACCTGTGGTTCAAATCCCAGTTCCAGGAACTTGAAAACTTCACTGGGTATGTGTGCCCAGGATCATGACAAAAGAGAAGTGGAGCATTATGGTGTGAGGGTATATTCTTCCTCTAGATAAGGAAATAAATGGCAGGTGGCCTGGCGGTTAAGGAACTGGTCTCCCATGCGGCTGACCGTGGCTCAAGTCCCATGTCTGGTAGCTTGCTTTCTCAGTTTCCTTCTCTCTCTCGTCAAATTTAAAAATGATAAATACGATTAAATATTCTTTTTTAAAAAATGAATGAATAAATAATGTTTCTTAAAAGAAAAAAGAGGAAAAGATCAAATCAGAAATGAGAACTATGAGAGTATTGCCAGGCTTTGGAGAAGTGGGGTGGCCTCCGGGTGTGGGGCGTGGTGACTGACGCAGGGAGGTGCTGGCCGGAGTGATTAGGTGAGGATCTGCTTTATCCAGGCAGAAACGTTGTGTGGGTGGAGTGGATACAGGGCCAGCCGAACGTGACCCAACACAGCAGCACGACAAGCTCGGTCACTCGGGCAGATCAGTCACGTCCCTGATCACACAGGTGCTCTGACCCTCCCCAGGGCACTAGGGCAGGTTGGCAGCCCTCCATTGGCTCCTGCTTCCTTGGGGAGGCCCACACTGTCCACCCAGGCCCTCCAGGCTCTGTGTACCAACTGCTGCTCCGTGTCGAGGACAGGGTGAGCAGCAAGGAAAAGACACAGGAGGGAAACTTGGAAAAGGCCAAGGAAAGGGAGTATTGGGAGAAAACTGTGCACGGATTTCAATTTGTATTTTTGTACCAAAATAAACTCATACTTTACATTTTTTCCATGAACTTTTTTTTTTTTTTTTAAGATTTTTTGCCTTAGAGCATGTGTTCCCTAAAGAGAAAAACAGAGAGGGAACATGAGAAATTAGCCCCCAGTGGGGGATGGCTAGGTTTTAGAGACAATCCCTTTCCTCCATTCTCCTCCTGGGATTTTGGGCATCCACCCTGACACTCCTGGCATGATTTTCAAACCACTGGGTCTGGGGCTTGAACTTCAGTCAACCATGTAGGAGTCCAGTGCCTTAACCACCACACCACCTGCTGGCTCCTCCATGAACATTCTGAAATTCCCTCGCATTTTCTACTCCTTTGAACACAACAGGTGCACATATGCTTGTGATTCTGGTTGGCCCAAGATGGGGCTGAGCACTGTGCAGCCCTCTTGGGGGTAACTGTGTTTGTGAGAGAGTGTGCATGTCTGCGTGTCTATCTGTCTCTGTCTCTGTCTCTCTCTCAACAGACAAATAAATAAAAAGAGAAAGAGAGAGAGGGGGCTGGCCCTGAAGCACAGTAGTTAGGGAGCCCAATCCCACACAGCTGACTACAGTTCGAATCCCACCTCCCGTGGCTTGAAACCACACCGGGTGTTACGAGCCCAGGCTCCCGAGAGGATGGAGAAATGGAGGTGAAAGATTGCGGTGTGATCATGCCCAGTTGGGAGGTGCTTCCTCTCTCTCTCTTCTCTCTCTCTTCTCCTGACACTTGTGCATCTGGCAATTTAGAAAAAAGAAAGTAACTTGTGCAGGTGGCCCTTCCGCCCACCCTTTCAGTCTGGCACACAATCAGAGCTCATGCGCTGTTCCTGTGCACAGTTCAGTGGCACAAAGTACTGCATTATTGGGAAAGTTGGGGTGCATTTTTGTACAGAAAATACATCATGACTTCCCCAACAACCTAACACCTGCACGACCAACTCCATTATCCACCTCTGGGGCTTCCTTATCATTCCAAACTTCAATTTTGCACCCATGAAACGGTAACTTCTCTACCCACTTTTACAGGCTTGCCCTGGGTCTCTGCCAAGAAGAATCCTTTGCAGAGGATGATCAAGGCCCTCATCCAGGAGCCCATCTAGCGTCGCCTCGTTAGGGGCTGGCCCCATGACCCAGTGGTTAAGGGAGCCAAATCCCACATGGCCAAGCACAGTTCAAATCCAGGCCCTAGCAGCTTGAAAAACATACTCAGCACAAGTGCGTGTAGACCCAAAATCTTGACAGGATGGAGAAATGGAGAAGGGACTGTGATGGGATCATGTCCCACAAGAGGGTGATTTCTCCCTCCTTCTTTGACTCTCTGGTGAGTGTGTACACATGCGCACATGCACGCACACGCACACCCACGCACACTGCCTCACTAGAATGAAAAATAATCCTTTCACCCAGGACACTCCAAGGGACTTGGGAGGTATGCTCAGGCAATGCTATGGCTCTGGAAATTTCAAAGGTCTTAGGGGCTCAGTGTCAGGAACCCAGGCAGGGAAAACATCAGAGGAAGATTCTCCTAGCACACCTGCCTACGAGGCTGCTAGAGGAACCAGGGGTAGAAACTATTTCACATAGGCACATTCCTTCCTGTTGCATAATATTTAACATGCATTATTGTTATTAAAAAAAATTAAGATGTTGTTTCCCACCCCACTTGTAAAATGACACAGCGGGTTGACTTTGAGACAATTCTTAATCTTTTCTTCCTACATATTTGGAAAGCAGAAGGATCCCTTAAAAAGCCTTGGCAGTCCTTTAACAGAAGATTTAGCTCCATTAACAGAAATAATTCCTGCCTCCAAAATTTCTTACGATGATGAAATGTAAAAAAATAAGGTTCAAAATTCAAAAATGGACCAGCAGTTAGTGTAATGGCTATGTTGTTGGACTCCCACAGTCAACCGCAGTTCGTGTCCCGGACCCGGTGGCTTAAAACTCATGCCAGGCACGTGTGCGTGCGTGCCCAAGATCCTGAGAGAAGAATGGAGAAAAGGGAGTGCAGCGTGACCATCCCCCCTGGGGGGGTGATTTCTTGCTTTCTGTCTCTCTGTCTCTCTCCAGCAAGGGCACACGCCCTATGGTAGAAACCTAAAAAAAAAAAGAAGAAGAAGGAGGAGGAGGAGGAGGAGGAGGAGGAGGAGGAGGAGGAGGAGAGGAGAAGGAGAAGGAGAAGGAGAAGGAGAAGGAGAAGGAGAAGAAGAAGAGACACAGGCCCTTTTACTATAGGAGTCGCATGGTAAGAAACATTTGATGACGTTTAGTGAAAAGGAGTCACTGATTGCTGATTGGGATTTGTTAATAGACTACCTGTAGCTGCAACCCACCCTCGACTAATGACCCTCGACTAGCCTTTGAGTAAGGAGAAGAGACTGAGTTTCCTCCACACGGGGACAATCCCCTCTGTCCCCCCACCCTCTCATGAGCATGAACCTACCATGATGGTGTGTTCGGGGAACTTGGCTCGGACGAGTTTCACGAATTCCACAAAATGTTCCGAATACCCGTTGGCCACATCCAGGCAGATGAACCTGACTTGGGGCACGGCTTCCAGGATGCGGCTCATCTTCTCCAGGTCATTCTGCCCACTGCCCGAGCTCACGGCTACGTGCTGCACCGGAACAAGCCACAGAATACAGCATGAACAGCGGCACCCAGACGCCAGCGCCTCCACCCCGCGCCTGCTCCAGGGACAGCTCAGTGACCCTCCGAGGTCCTCCCTGAGCAAACAGGGACCTGCTCAAGAGACAGGCGACGGCAGAGGGAAAGGCGAGGCGTGCCGTCAGTCGGCTAAACGCTGATTCACTCCTTCCCACACTCCCGGGAGCCGCAGTGCATCCTGACAGCGGGGCCTGGCCACAGAGGCTTCCCTGTAGACAGATTTTTCACAGCGAGGAAACCGTGGCCTTGGCTTCTGTTGACTTTCTTAAGTTTTCCAAGCAAACCTTGGCATTGTGGCGCTACTTGTGCAAATGTGTGAGACCATGGAAACTCAAGGGAAGACAAGGATAGGTGAGAAAGGTTCCCAGAGAGAGCGAAGCCAGGCGTCAGGGGAAAGCCATGGCCTCACCCAGAGTACCTCACTCGGAGCAGGAGGGAGGATCTTGAAGCTATCTATAGAGCTCCGTAATCGTCACATCAACTTCGTGATAATTTCCTGGCCTCCCCCGAAAAGAAACTCATGCACCCCATAACCATCATCCCTCTGAGCTCCTCCCCCTCAGGCCTGGGCAACCTCTAGTCCCTGTTGTCTCTGTAGATCTGCCTGTTCTGGACATTCCAGGTCAATGAGATGACATACGTGGTCTTTGGTGTCTGGCGTTTTCACTCAGCTAAACGTTGTCGAGGTTCACCCGTGTCGTAGTATGTACCACCACAGGAGCCAGCGAATGACTGATCACATTTTATATAGCCACTCAGCCATGGACAGTCAATGGGGTGGCGGTGTTCATATCTTGGGGCTCTTGGGGATCACACGGCCAACAACGTGCATGAACTATTTTCTGTGTGAACATAGGCTTTCATCTCTGTTGGGGTCTACATCGAGAGACGGAGTTGCTGGGTCTACGGCAACTCTTAGGTTCCATCTTTGAAGGAACTGCTAAACTGCGTCCCATGCAGCTGCAGGTTTTTACGCCCCCACTGCAGGGGATGGAGGGCCTGATTTCTCCACCTCCAAATATGTGTCTTTCTGCTGATGGCTATCAGACTGGGCATATTGTTTATTCTACTCCAAAACTGCTAAATAAAGGGAGATGTTTTCCTACAACCATAAATCACATTCAGACCAGATCCACCTCCAAATGGCTTTCAGAAAACGGAGGTCTTCCCCAAGCTCTTGTGGTAGATAGAACCCTTTGCCTTTCAAGGAAAAACATGGATAGTCCCTCTTCAGGGTAAATGCTAGTACTTCATGACTCAGTTTGGGACAGGCTTGCTCAGCCTATGAACTCCTGAGCTCTGGGTCTCTCTGCTCCTGCCAACCTGAAAAGCTGTCCTCCCCTGGCAACCCCTGTGCTGTTTGCTTGTTTATTTGTTTGTCTAAAGAGAGATTTTTGCTATAGGGCACATGCACTCACTGGAGAGACAGAGAGACAGAAAGTGAGAAATCACTCCTCCAGGGGGGATGGCCATACTGCATTCTCTTCTCCTCCATTCTCCTCCTGGGACCTTGGACATGCATGCACATACATGAGCCCAGAGTTTTAAGCCGTTGGGTCCAGGACTCGGACTGTGATTGACTATGTGGGAGTCCAGCGACGTGACCATCATGCCATGTGCTGTCTCCAACCTCTGTACCTTTTAACCAGGCTGTGCTCCTACCTGGAGGCACTCCGGGTGATCTGTGGCAAAGCGCTTCCAGTCGTCCAGGGTGTAGTGCTTGTGGATCGCTGTAAACATGGAGTGCTGGGAAACAGAACGGCACGGTCAGGATGAGAAGCCGGGAGCCCTCTCCCCCTCTTCCCTCCGGAGGTGTTGACCCGGCAGATGGAGGCATGTGCTCCTGCCATCCACGCTTCGCTCTGAATGTGCTCCCAGCAGCCAAAACCACACAAAGGTGTAACCGGTGAAATCTTAACTCTTTCCTGTTCTTATCTGCCCAGATCACACTGCATTTCGGACTTAGGAGGCAATGCCAGGAGGCAGTGCAGGGATAAAGGGGAGTCTCAGAGCCCTGGTCCAACCCAGCCTGGCCACCCACACTGAGGCAGGCAGAGAGCTGGCAGACAGACAGCCAAAATGAAAACCCGGCCCAGAAGGGCTGTCTTAAAACAACTTCTGGTTAACCAACCCCCCCAAGAGCCTCATTTTATACTTGAAAAGTTCTTCTTGTGTCCACAACCCAAATGCTTCTTATTAAAAGCTCAGCCATAAAGCAGCTGGTTCTAAGAAAATAAAATAGGGCCATCTTCATAGTCTGCTGCTTGAGGTAGCTGGATCCCACATGGCTGACAGTATGGGTCAAGTCCCAGACCCAGCAGTCTGAAAAACACATCAGGTATGTGTGTGCATGCCCAAAAATCCCCAAAGGAGGGAGAGAGAGTGGAGAAGGGATTGTGGTGTGACCATGCCCCATGCGGAGTGCTTTCTCCTCTCCCTCTCTCCGTCTTTTACAGGTCAAATGCACATGACCTGTCACAAAACAAAACAAAAGTAAATTAAATTAAACTGATGGGGTCTTGCAGGGTGTGGTCCTCCTACCTCAGCCTGCCAGCTGGGGGAACAGGCGTGCACCACCACTCCAGGCTCTGTCAGGTAGGAGCTCACCATGTCTCTCTCTCTCTCTCTCTGTCTCTCTCATGTAGGTGTGCATGCACGAGAGCGCACAAGCATACACACACACACACACACACACACACACACACACACACCTCACTATGGGATGTAGTCACACCACAATCCGTCTTCCTCCAATTCTCTACTCCACTAGGGTCCTGGGCATACACACACACAAACTGATGGTGTCAGAACGCTGGTCAGCCATGTGGCTCCCGTTCCTCCATGCACTAACTGTTGTGCCATGGGGCTGACCCAGCGGGACTGAGGGAGAGACTTACATCAATTACGGCCTCAAATCATGACTATCGATCCAGCACTTACTACCTTTGTGCCAAGACTCTGCATAGGTTAAGAGAGACAGAAAGTGAGAAATCACTCCTCCAGGGGGGATGGCCATACTGCATTCTCTTCTCCTCCATTCTCCTCCTGGGACCTTGGACATGCATGCACATACATGAGCCCAGAGTTTTAAGCCGTTGGGTCCAGGACTCGGACTGTGATTGACTATGTGGGAGTCCAGCGACGTGACCATCATGCCATGTGCTGTCTCCAACCTCTGTACCTTTTAACCAGGCTGTGCTCCTACCTGGAGGCACTCCGGGTGATCTGTGGCAAAGCGCTTCCAGTCGTCCAGGGTGTAGTGCTTGTGGATCGCTGTAAACATGGAGTGCTGGGAAACAGAACGGCACGGTCAGGATGAGAAGCCGGGAGCCCTCTCCCCCTCTTCCCTCCGGAGGTGTTGACCCGGCAGATGGAGGCATGTGCTCCTGCCATCCACGCTTCGCTCTGAATGTGCTCCCAGCAGCCAAAACCACACAAAGGTGTAACCGGTGAAATCTTAACTCTTTCCTGTTCTTATCTGCCCAGATCACACTGCATTTCGGACTTAGGAGGCAATGCCAGGAGGCAGTGCAGGGATAAAGGGGAGTCTCAGAGCCCTGGTCCAACCCAGCCTGGCCACCCACACTGAGGCAGGCAGAGAGCTGGCAGACAGACAGCCAAAATGAAAACCCGGCCCAGAAGGGCTGTCTTAAAACAACTTCTGGTTAACCAACCCCCCCAAGAGCCTCATTTTATACTTGAAAAGTTCTTCTTGTGTCCACAACCCAAATGCTTCTTATTAAAAGCTCAGCCATAAAGCAGCTGGTTCTAAGAAAATAAAATAGGGCCATCTTCATAGTCTGCTGCTTGAGGTAGCTGGATCCCACATGGCTGACAGTATGGGTCAAGTCCCAGACCCAGCAGTCTGAAAAACACATCAGGTATGTGTGTGCATGCCCAAAAATCCCCAAAGGAGGGAGAGAGAGTGGAGAAGGGATTGTGGTGTGACCATGCCCCATGCGGAGTGCTTTCTCCTCTCCCTCTCTCCGTCTTTTACAGGTCAAATGCACATGACCTGTCACAAAACAAAACAAAAGTAAATTAAATTAAACTGATGGGGTCTTGCAGGGTGTGGTCCTCCTACCTCAGCCTGCCAGCTGGGGGAACAGGCGTGCACCACCACTCCAGGCTCTGTCAGGTAGGAGCTCACCATGTCTCTCTCTCTCTCTCTCTGTCTCTCTCTCTTTCTTTTACTGCCAGAGGGCATATGCATGTATGCATGCAAGAGAGCACACAAGCATACACACACACACACACACACACACACACACACACACACCTCACTATGGGATGTAGTCACACCACAATCCGTCTTCCTCCAATTCTCTACTCCACTAGGGTCCTGGGCATACACACACACAAACTGATGGGGTCAGAACGCTGGTCAGCCATGTGGCTCCCGTTCCTCCATGCACTAACTGTTGTGCCATGGGGCTGACCCAGCGGGACTGAGGGAGAGACTTACATCAATTACGGCCTCAAATCATGACTATCGATCCAGCACTTACTACCTTTGTGCCAAGACTCTGCATAGGTTATTTTGTTTAATTCTCAGGGAAACTGAATGGTTTTATAAGCTTCGTGGGCAGAAACGGAACTTATGACCCTTAAATTTAAGAAATTTAACAACTGCTTGGCTAGTGAGGGGCAAAGGCCAGAATCAAACCCAGACTCCTTCTCCTATAACAAGGTGCTCTTTCCTAAGGTTTCTAGCTCTCCTTATTTCCTAACTCACAATTCATTCTCCCATTTTATTGGGTTGTCAGAAAAGTCATGATGCATTTTTGCATAGAAAAACATAGAAAAATATGTGTCGTGACTTTTCTGATGACCCAATAAAATTCTATGACTCTATTAACTTGACTAACTATGGATTCTGGAAATAGGAAATTCAGATAACCACACATGGTTAATATGTCTGTATATACACTAATTCGTATGGAGACGTCCTGTGAAAATGGGAAAAACACAGGAAGTCCTAGCTTTTCCATGGACTAATAATGTAATACGTGAATTAACCAGGCTATATATTCCTCCCTAATTCCACCTACTTTTTCAAGAGAATGACTTATTTTATTTATTTATTTAGAGAGATTTTTGCTATAAGGCATATGCACTCGCCAGAGTAACAGAGACAGGAAGCAAGAGTAACAGAGACAGGAAGCAAGAAATCACCTCCCCCCCCCCCCCCCCCCCGCGTTAGGAGGGGACATCACCCCCCCCCCCCGCCATGGGGGATGGCCATGCTGCAATCCCTTCTCCTCCATTCTCCTCTTGGGACCTTGGGCACACACCCAGTCTGAGTTTTAAGCTGCCGGGTCCAGGATTGGAATCATGATCGACTATGTGGGAGTCCAGCAACGTAACCATTATGCCATCTGCTGGTCTCTATTATTATTTGTTTAAGTTTGCTACAGGGTATGAGCACTTACCAGAGAGACAGGGAGAGAGAGAGAGATGGAAAGTGAGAAAGCAAGCCACCAAGTCTGGCACTCAAACCATGGTTGGCCACGTGGGAGTCCAGTGCCTTAGCTACCACCTGCTATTCCTCCACCCACTTTTACACTAATACATAATTTATTAGTAATAGTGGCTGATGACAAAGCAGAGCAAGGAAAAGATGGAAGGGGGTTATAACTCCATTAGCAATTAATTTATTAGCCCCTGACCCAAAGCTCAGTGGAGACTGAGGGCTAAGGGCTGATAGGCGGTACCGCTAATCCTAGAGTCGGAAGGACCACTCACTCCTCCCAATAACTGGCTAATAATGAATCCCAGTGCCGCCTGTGTTTAGACTTGCTGCCCACAGTGAGAAACTCTTTCAGCTCATTGGGTTTATCTTTGCACTTGGCGGGCACTGTCAACAGAAACATGCAAAGCCCGGTGTGCACATCCAGGGTGTATGAGATGTTCTACCTAGGCGTAGCAGCATGAGACAGAAGTCCTGCCCACAAACAGCTTCCCCTTCGTTATTCCCCGGGAGAGGATGGTGGGGGGGCTGCCTTTATAGGAAATTAGACTAGGAGTTGGCTTAAAGAGACCTTGAGATTCTATTGTGATCTGTCAGCTTATGTTGAGAGGAAAATCTCTTAGGTTCTGAAGTCAGTTTGGGTTTGAATCTTGACTGTCTTCACCTGGCGAAGGATCCTGGTGCAAGTTTCCCTTCCTTGCTCTCTCTTGCCTCAATTTGCTCATCTTTACAAGGGACCTACCTTGTGGAGTTATGGCAAGAATTAAGGGATATGTTACATGCAGTGTTCGGCACATAAGTGCTCAGTAGATGTTCTTTATGTAAGTATGTAATAAGTGCTGTCACACAGACTGCATGCCGCAGCACTGTCTTGGTTTTAAAGGTGATGTTGCTCTTCCATAACACTGTACCTGTCATGTTGTCTAATTCCTTTCTATAGCTCTAATTTCCAATACTATCATGAGCATTTCTACGGAAGAAATGGACAGAGACCTGGACCATCTCACTGACTACAAAGTCCAGACACCTCCATATTCTGGTTGAAGAAGAGAAAAGAAGTGTAACCAGCAATGGCCAACTCTGGACAGAGGCCCAAAGTGTCTCACTCTTCTTCTTCCCCACATCTGAACAAATCCAGGAAGGCTTTCCACAACCTGCCAATATTATGAGCACCAAAGAGAAAACGGGAGCCCCCCTCACCCCGTCTCACCCGAGCCATCACAGCTGCCATCTCAAACGTCCCCACGGTGTCCATGTTGGCCACAATGATGGGAATCCCTGAGTAGGTCTGCTTCGAGTTACGGAAAGTGAAGGTACGCTCTAGGTCCACCTGTTGGTCAAAAGGAAGGAAAGGAGTGCTTTGCTTTTGGGTGGAAATGTACAGAATTTCCCGAGTTTGGAGCAAGCGAGAAGAAAACAAAGGAAGTATCTGGTCCCTTGATTCTCTTAGGGCATGAGCCAGGTGTTCCAAAGACAGGACAATCCCCAAAGAAACCAAATCCCACCTGCATGCAAAAGCCAGAGGGGGCTCTTCATAGCTTGGGTGACAAGTTTGTCTCCCAAAGTTTCATGTTTGGCCTTTGTGGGCAATGCCTGGGTGTTCCCCAGGAACATGTGTTGGGACTTGATTGTATCATTGAGGCATAAGAGAAAACTGAATTTCTTCATGATTTTCCTAGTGTGGGGTCTTCGGGTGTGATCAAGTCATTACTGCAGTACCTCCATGACTGAATTCTGAGGAGTTTATGAGAATAGAGAGAAGACCACATGGATGCAGACCACACTTGGCTAAGAGTTCTGCCTTCCGCCATTTTGTTATGCCTTTGGACTTCCCCGTCATCAGAACTTACAGTCAAAATAAATCCCTATTCTCTTAGAGTCGCCTGGTCTCAGGTATTTGTTAGCCACACAATAATGGACTAAGACAGGCTCCTTACCATCCTCAAGCACCCGGACAAGGTACTAGGTCTCTGCATTCAAGTCAGACTTGTGGAACATGTTCTCTCCTCCTTCCCCAGCCCCTCCAATCCTACCGCCATCTCCTATCCTCAGCTTGGCTCCGACCAGCCCTAAACACACACATACAGATTATCTTTTTCCCATTTCCAAGCACTTCCAAGCACTACAGGATGGGTCCCCTCTGGGAATATCTGCCCCATTCTTTCCTGATACCTGCCAACAGTGGCCGTCCTCCAGTAAAGTCCCCTTTCTCACCTTTCACCCAGAATCCCACTCCATCCTCACCCCGCAGTGAACTCCTCACCATTAATCTCTTAACCTTCCACTGCCACTGCTGTTGGGTAATTATGACCATTTTTCAAAAGAGCTGGGGAGAATACACAGTCCGCCATATGCTCCGCACAGAAACACTTGTTCCTCTGTCTTGAAACAGTTACAGACAGGGCAGACTCCAGCTTGCTTACTCATCAACCCATCCCTTGGCCTGCTTTTACGGAGGCCACCGCCTGCAGCCACCATTTTCCAAGTTCATCGATGATGGTTCTGCCAGTGAGAAGGGAGTGGTGGGAAAGGGGGGGCTACTGAGAGGGAGAAGGTAGTTCTCCCACATTCTTTCTTCCTCAGGCAGCTTCCCCGGAGAAGCTGTGGCCCCTGCAGACTCCAGTTCCCTGACCAGAGAGGACTGACTGCATGTTCCTGGCTCCAGCGCCCCCGGAGTGAGTCTAGTGCCTGGGCAACCATGGACTCCTACTTTAGGGTGGGAGTGGCTACTTGCTTTTGCTAACATCTAGGGTACCTCAGTAGCCCACTCAGCATCTCAGCTAGGTCGGATGCCTGCACCGACCTCTCTGTTTTAAACATTCAGTGTTGCTCCTTGGCTGGACGTGAAAGAGAATGACCACCCACGTCTGGTGTGTGACTCAGAGTGACCTGGTCGGGTGCCAATCACCTGCTTCTGAAATCATGTAGCCCGACACTGACCCTGGCCTCACGGGGACACAGCAATCGTCATTTTCTAGCAGTGTTTGTCCCAATGCTGCTTTTCTTCTTTCAGAGACCACTTTCACTTTGCAATCAGTGTCAGGTCAGGAAATCCCCTGGAGCATCTCAGACTCATCTGCCTTTTCGTTTCTCTTGCTTCTCCACACAGGGCTCCAATCCCAGGAGGCTTCCTGGGCGGATGATGTCATAAATATGACTACTGGCCGCAGATGGCAAAGGGGCGGGTGAACACCACGCTGTAAGCACAAGCGTTTGGGCCAGCTCTTCTCTCTCCACGTCCTTCCTAATGCTTCTCGGTTCCACTTCAGTGGAACACGTCATGGAGCCATTTGCAACCTTCCACGCTGCTGACTGCCCCTAGCCTGTTGGCTTTGCACCCTTAAAATGACCAATATTCCTTGGTCTTAAATTACTCTTAGACTCTGCCAAGACGCAGGGGGATCGTAGTTCCAATCTGCACCCAGCTGAGATCAAATGGGCTTTTCCTGGGCACTCCAAAACTGATCCGATCCACAGTGTAAAATCAGCACTCTGCTGGAAAAGGGCAGCCTTGACAACGACCCTCTCCTGCCAGTTCTAGTCTTCTCCGTCAGAGACAATGCAATCCTTCATTCTAGGAAAGAGAAAATGATCTTTCCCAAGCTTATCCACCCAGACACACACACACACAAAATGCACTGGATGGTTACTGAGAGAGAGACTGTTCAAACACTCCAGCCTCTCAGGAACAAAACACGGCATTTAACCTGCCATGGCTGGTCAATGTGACTGAGAATGCACCTCCACACTTCCCCCTCTGCTAAGTCTGATTCAAAGGGAATACAAAGTGGCCAGCTCTCCTCCCCCACCTCAAATGCACCTGCTTCTGCCACTCTACAGCACACCCTAAGGTCAGTGCAGCGAACCCACCTCCGGGGTTCGAATATCTATGCGGGCCGGCTGCATGGTGAAGCAGTAATGCAACACACTGCGATGCTGAAGCCACTCAGGAGGGGCTGGGGCTGACTTCCTGGGGTCTCCCTGGACACGCAGGTGCATACATGCATGTGCCGTGATCCTGGCTGGCTGAGGCCGGTGGGGTGGGGGGAGGAACGGCGGCATAAAGACCTGGCAGTAGCCAGCTTCAAACTATTACTCCCTTAACCTCCCACCCGCCACTCCTGTTGGGCCATGATGAGCATCTTTCTGTGCCCACCCTCACCTGGTCCACTGTACTCATGGAAGAAATAAATAAATCTAAACAAAACAAGCAAACAAAACCCAAAGTACAAGCGGAGACCCACCCACCGTGTTTTAGAGGTGCCCTGTGGCAAGCTAGCACACTGCACCCTAAAATATGCCCTGCTCTCCTACCGCAACATAAAGGAAGTCACTCACAGCCAGGAAGACACGGGGACATGGTGTGGAGAGGCAGCCTAGGCTCCCAGGGCACACCCTCCTCCCTTCCCACCCAAACCTTCATGTGTAGCCTATGGACGTCCCAGCTTGCACACTCAACTCTATGCACACTGACACCTGCTCCCACCAACTGCTGCCACCAGGCCACTCTCCAAGGTTAGCGGTGAGCATGCCAGCAGCATCGGTGCCTGCGGGAAGACAGGCCCGGGGAGGCCCGCGCAGGCCTCAGAACCAGCTTGAGGTCACCTGGGGAGGGATATCCAGAGCACAGCCTAGAAGGAAAAGGATAGCCTTCAGGCCTGGCCCAGGAGGAACGAAGCAGGCCCAGGAGGGGGCCCCTTTTCCTAGACTTAAGGATGACAGTGGGTCATTCTCACCCGCATGGCTAGGGGTGAGAATGAGCCTGTGTTTTGGCCCTTAACCTCTGCTGGGCAGGGCTTGATATGTCCCGACCCAGCCCCCTGGATGTAGATCCAATCCCGGGCAGCTTGGTCACTGGGCTCAGGCTTCGGAGGCACTCATGCCACTCTAGCACCAGCAGCAGGCCCCAGGTTGCACACAGAGGTCAGTCCAGTGCACCCAGGCACACTCAGAATTCTCCTAGGACAGGGCCAGCCCTGTGGCCTGGTTTAAGGGACCTGGATCCTACACGGCCAACCACGGCTCAAATCCCAGCCCTGACAGCCTGAAAAGTACAACCGGCAGGTAGCGTGCTGGTTAACATGCTAGACTCCCACACAGCCGACCATGGTTCAACTCCTGGGTCCAGCGACTTGCTTTCTCACTTTCTCTGTCTCTCTGGTGAGCACATGTGTCCTATAGCAAATTGAAAAGAAAAGAAAACTAATAATAAATCAAATTAAGAAAAGAAACAAATAAGTATGCTGGATATGTGTGCAGGTATGTCCCAAATCCTGGAGGGCTGGGGGAATGGAGGAGAAGGGACTGAGGTGTGATCACTCTTTATTGGGGTGATCTCTCACTCTCCCTCTTTCTCTCCCCCTCTCTCTTTGTCTCCCTCTCCCTCTCCGTCTCTCTGGGGAATTCATGGGCATGCTGACAAGTTGTTTAAAAAAATAATCTTCTTAGGATGACTTCTGGAACACACACAGGCTGAGACCAAACCAGACTTCACAGATCAGCTGTTTGTGTTGGTGACAATGCGTGTGTTTTGGAGTGTCTCTCCAGGCAACTCTGCTGCATTCATTACTAAGAACAAGCCTAGTCAAACCCTCTCATTTTAGAGTTAAGACTTACAGGGACTCTGTGGGTTGAACTGTGGTTCCCCAACAGAGGTGTCAAAGTCCTGATCTCCAATACCTATGAGCGTGCTCTTACTTGGACATTCGGTCTTCACAGATGATCAAGTTAAGACCAGGTCACTAGAGGAGACCCTAGTATAATGACCGATGTTCTTATAAAAGGGAAACCTTGGACAGAGATACACAGAAAGGCAGAATACCACAAGGAGATGGAGGCTGAGAGTGGGAAGATGTCTACAAGTCAGAAATGCCAAAGATGGCTAGGAAACCACCAGGAGCCTGGAAGAGATTCTCTCTTACCACCTTAAGGAAAAATCAGCTCTGCTGACAGCTCGATCTTGGGCTTTAAGCCTCCGGAATGGAGAGACAACAGGTTTCTATTATTGAAGAGAACCCATTTGTGGCACTTTGTGGTAGCAGCCCCCAAAACTAACACAGAGGCAAAGGTAATAAAAGAGTGAGCTTGAACAAAAGCCAGAGACTCATTTCTCTCAGCCCAATATTCCCTACATTCTGCCACGCTCTCATCCTCGCAGGGCCAATATGTCACAGACAGTGAAAGCTGAACTAAAACTCTTCTCTCTGGAGAAGGTACTCATCATGGCTCTCTCTTCTTCCCTTTTCTTCCACTCAAAAAGGAAAAACAAAACAAAACCGTTCTCCGCAGTTAGACCTTGGACCTCTAAACCGTGAGCTAAATAAACCTCTATTCTTTATAAGTTGCCCAGACTCAGTTACTCTTTAATTAGCAATAGAGGCTAAAACAGGTTGCATTAATAAGTTTACTCCTTTTTTTTAAGTTCTAGCCTAAGGAGTAAGGTGAGATAAGAGAGAGCGAGAAATGGGTCCCAAAGAAGAACACCTCTGGGGAAATGAATAATGCAAGCTCTCCAGTATGTCATACAAAAACAAATGTCTAGCCTCAGTCAACAAACATGTCACCTCCCCTGAAAAGATTATCCGAATGTTCCCACGCAACCTGATAGCACTTTATTCTTCTGTACCAAGGGCTGGTACAGCTGAGAGAGGACTGTCTACCTAGAGTACATGCCATAGCCACCAGGGCCACCCCTACCTTTGCTCTCCCTCTGGGAGTTGACCTCAAATTCAGCTTATGTGAGTCTTACGGAATGTCTCAGCAGGGGCACTAAAATTCCCGTTGGGAGATCACTCATGCACTCTCTCCGTTTCCTGCTCACTGCCTGATGATCCTTCACAGGGCTGACTCTGAGCAAAGCTGTCTCAGTTATAAAGCTTGCTGTCCAGCACTAAGACAGTCCTTCCCCAGCCAGACTCTGCCCCTGGGTGTACATTAGCTCCTTTGGGCTCAGGGCTGGGATCTGCTGTTGAGTTTCAAATGTGCACTCAGGTATCACTTCTGCCAGGGTACACATGTTTCAAGCTTCCGACTGTCTTTGTGTACAGAAATGTGGGGCCTTAAGGGGCAGACAGAGGTGCAGTGGTAACACAGTGCTCTGCAAGGCTGGACCACTTTGTAGCGTTCCAGGTTCGTATCCACAGGCTTCCCTGAACACATCGAGTACACACATGCCCACAGTCTGGGGCTGGCTGAGGCCAGGAGTTCATTGCAGTATGGGAGCCCTATGGGGCGTGCCTATCTCTGTCTCTCTCTCTGCCCCTTTCCCTTACAGAAAAGGGAAATTAATGGGCTTGGGGAGCAAAAAAAGGAAATTTAGGCATTAACGAGCAAACTGAAAAAAGTATGAGAGGGGGTTAGAGAGGCCTGGGGCCAGCAGGTGGCATAGTGATTAAGGTGCTGGGCTCCCACACAATCAACTGCAGTTCCAGTCCTAGGTCTGGTGGTTTGTTCTCTTACTCTCTTTCAAATCTCGCCAAATGGAAGAAGAATCAATAAAATTAAATAAAATAATTCTTAAAGAGAGAGAGAGGTCTAACTAGGTCCTTCAACACCACTGAGGCAGGAAAGCAGATTAAGGGGGGTGGGTGGCTGGCTAGGCAGAAGCCCCAATGCACCCAGGAGCTAAACCATTAGGGGAACTATTGAAAAAGCAAGGCCAGTGAACTCGAGTTTCTGGACACGTAGCTGGCAAACTCCCACCAAAGTGAAACTGGGAAAACCTCTTTTCAAGGGCACTCAGTTCTCACTGCAACCGACATGTGCAGACTGCAAGGTGCAGTCCAAACTCAGACATTGAGTTGCAATCAGCCGGAATTATGAAATCAAGTGTTGCACGGCATGGCATTCTTCCCTGGGGAGGAATAATCCGTTCTAGTACATAAATTTCAAATGCTTTACCTTTTCCAGATAATCCTTGGTTCAGAAAATACATACAATACATCTTGGTTTGGAAGATAGAATTAAAAAAACAAATGACGTACTCTCTATTCAATAGGTTTTGAGTATTTTATAGACTACCGAGGCCATTAAGGTATCAGTCTGCTCAGAATTAATCCCTGGGCCATCTCATCTCCATCTGCCCTTGAGCACTGGCTACAGTCTGGACTTCTGGAGACCCAGGCCTGCCTTCTAAACTATTTGGGTTCTAAGAGTCAGCTCTTCAACACCTAAAAGGACAACATGATCAAGGACAAGCACAGCGTTGCTCATCTGGGCAGACGTGGGTTAATCACGCCTCTGAGTTCTATTCCTCCTGTTCCTGCCGCCCCAGCCAGCCAAGGCTGCCCTGGAGAAGGTGATTCGCTGCAGGACACCGGCTCCCTAAGTCCAAACACGCCCTGGGCTGGCAGCAGCAAGCACTGCAGCAGGCTGGGCATGGGGGTAGGCAGCGAGTTCTCGGCCCTGGGTGTTTATTTACGGTCTTGTGTGTGGAGTTGAGCGGAAGCAGGCTTGCTCGGCCCCCCAGCTCACCACCCCCCAGGCAGGCACAGCCGCGTCCCGCCTTCCTCTCTAGCCTAGACAACCTGGCCAAGCATTGTCACCAGCGGCACTGCTCCAGGGGCCTCTGCCTGTCCTTGCAACTACTTTACCCTTCAGGGACTGGCCTCCCTCCCCCCGCACCGAGCTATTTCCAGCCGGGTCTCCACCTGTTCCTAAGGCCTTGCACTCCTCAACCAAGAACTAGTAAAATGCCTGCAGCTCCCAATTCACTCCACCACCAGCACCCCGGGGTCTTCGGCTTCTCCGGGGCTGAGCTGGGCTGGGGCTGAGGGTTATCCAGGTCCACGGTGCCACCAGGAACGCGTCCCGTGGCCCCACTCCCAGCAAGGCCACCCACTCTCGGAGAGTAAACGCTGAATTTGTGCCATGAAGCTCCCCGGTTTTCCAGACACGTTAGGAACATGACAACGCTGGCCCGGACGCTGCGGCAGCAGTGGGTCCCAGCACAGGGAGACGCTGCCGGAAATCGGGGCCGCGGGGTCTCCTTTCCATCAGCTCCAGTTTCCCTTTCGCCGCCCACCCCCATTCCTTCTAAGTCAGCGGGCCACGTGATCCCCGCTCCCCCGTGGGGCTGGTTCCCGGTAAACTTCCTCTGGCGCACCCCACCGGACGAGGATTGGGGCGAGCCGGGCGCCTCCATCTCTGTCCCTGCCACAGTGCGGGGGGAGCGGCGCGGCTCTCGGCCCCAGGCACGCCGCTCAGGCAGGGTGACAGTGCCACCGCCACCCACCTCCTCCGCGCCCCTGCCGGCTGGGACTTGCCAGCGGCCCCCACCTCGGCTCGGCTCCTGAGGCTGCTCCGCTTCGGTCGGAGCAGGACATCCTTGAAGTCGAGCTTGAGGTCCGCATCTATGCGGGGCATGGTGCGGGGCGGCGCGCTCGAACCCGCGCGTCGGGCCTGGGGGGCTCCTCCTCGCGGGTGGCGTCC